AACCCTGGCGACCTGCTGCAAGTCATTGTGGACAAGCTTAGATGGACCCAGTGATGTGACTCTGTATTTTTGTATATATCCCCTGCATTGCTTTGTCTTTGACCTGTTGGGAAATTACGGGTAGGTGGGTTTTTGTGTGTGTGTGTGTGTGTGTGTGTGGTGGCCAGGGCCAGATTTAGGTTTGATGAGGCCCTAAGCTACTGAAGGTAATGGGGCCCTTTATATGTCCAGCTGTCCTCTGTCAACAACAAAATGTCGCTGTTGTTTTGTGTTGAATATATGCTATATGGTAATTTATGGACCTAATGGGTATCTAAAGCCATTTGCACATAACAAAATATGTATTTTATCAAAGTAATTGTTGAACTGAAATACAATTAAGAAGTAGTACAGTGGTACCTCGGGTTACAGACGCTTCAGGTTACAGACTCCGCTAACCCAGAAATAGTATCTCGGGTTAAGAACTTTGCTTCAGAATGAGAACAGAAATCACGTGGCGGCAGCGGGAGGCCCCATTAGCTAAAGTGGTACCCCAGGTTAAGAACAGTTTCAGGTTAAGAACAGACCTCCAGAACAAATTAAGTTCTTAACCCGAGTTGCCACTGTATATTAATAGTGAAATGCAATTAAGAAGAAGTATAATAATAATAAATTATTATTATTATTATTATTATTATTATTATTATTATTATTATTTTGAGGGGGGCAAAATAGAGTGGTCTTAAGCTATAGCTTGTTTAGCTTATCCGTAATCGGGCATTGGTGGTGGCCTATGTTTTCCTTACATAAAACCGACTTGATGACGTGAGAATGGGTTGCTTGTGCAAATTCTGGGAGGCGGGAAGTTATAAACACCTTCAGCTAATAGAGTTTCAGGAGGAAACAAATGGGCTCTTCAAGTTAATTGAGGTGAGGCTCCCAAAATTCTCACACACATCCTGCCGCCTCCAGTGATTCTAATTAGGATACAGAACAAAGGCTGTTGTTGGGTTTGGATGGGGAATCACTGATGGAATGCAAGCCTTCCATTGACCCTGGACGCCATAACCTGCTTTTGAAGGAAAGATTAGACTCTGTCTGCTCTATGTGAATATAATGAAAATAAAACCGTTTTAACAATGGAGTAGACCATTATTGATCGTCTTAAATCAAATGCATTTGTTGAGTCTCTTGTTTGCTTTTTAATGCTACAAGGTTGAGCCCTTAAAAAGCAGAGTGTTTTAAATGTAAAAGGTAAAGGTAAAGGACCCGTGACAGTTAAGTCCAGTCGCAAATGACTCTGGGGTTGCTGCGCTCATCTCGCTTTACTGGCCGAAGGAGCCGACATTTGTCCGCAGACAGTTTTTCCGGGCCGTGTGGCCAGCATGACTGAGCCACTTCTGGCAAAACCAGAGCAGCACATGGAAACGCCATTTACCTTCCCGCCGGAGTGGTACCTATTTATCTACTTGCACTTTGATGTGCTTTCAAACTGCTAGGTTGGCAGGAGCTGGGACCGAGCAACAGGAGCTCACCCCTTCACAGGGATTCGAACCGCCCTAGGCTCAGTGGTTTAGACCACAGCGCCACCCGCGTTTTAAATGTAATGTGCAGTTAAAAAGAAGTAATTTGGAGTGTGACAAATAGCCCTCAAGAGGGCTTGTAATAATCAAATACAGGGAAACTTCTAACAAGATACAACTGGGGAACGTCATCCCGGTTATGTGCAAACTTTCAGTGTCTGGGGGGTTTTCGCCTCCTGCACAGAACCTGGTATCATGTCCCAGAATTTGAACTTGCTGACATCTTTCTCCGCATGATTTTAAAGCAACAGTGGAGTCCTATACTTGACTACTATAAGTAAGTCCCATTGAATTCAATTTGGCCTGCTCTCAGGTGAACGGGTAATAGAATTGAAGCCCAAGTTTCTAGCCCTCTGGTTATTGCTCTTATTTTTGCAGAGGAAAACTTGGGAACCCACAGGCAGTGCTTGGTATAGCTCTGAGAGCAGCCAAGGGCAGGAAGGGGAGGCTTCTCAATGGCCAGAGGACAGAGAGCTTAGTGACACGCTCAGCTTCAATCACCTAACTCTCTTTGTAGCTATTATTCCAGGAGTGGCTGGCCGGGTGGGGCTTTGAGAGTCACCGGACCTCCTTCTGGCTGGGTCACTGCAGCAGACCAAGATGGGGAGGGGAAGGGGTGCTGTTGGTGCCATGCAAACGCACCGGCAGAGCCAAATTCAGCATTCCTGCCAGCGCATTCACACTGCGTTGACCTCACTGGTGCCTCCCTCTTCCCTCTCTCTGTCTCAGTATATTGCAGTGACCTGAACAAAGCGTTGTCAGGTGGGCAGCAGAGCTTCTTCATTAAATCCATTGCTCTGTTACTCTCTGTGTGCTCTTTGACTTAGATTTGGTTCGTCGTCACGAGCAAAAACTGGAATAAATCATGCAAAGCAAAGGTAGATGCAAAAAGTTAAGTTGTGCTTTTTTGCCCACAAGGCCCCGAATTTGCACCGCCTGCATGCAGCAATGATGAATTCACTTTAAACCCTGCTGATTTATGTGAGGCTGGATAACTCAGTCAGTATTGATGCTTTTGAATTATGGTGCTGGAGGAGACTCATGAGAGTCCCATGGACTGCAAGAAGATCAAACCTATCCATTCAGAAGAAAATCAGCCCTGAGTGCTCACTGGAAGGACAGATCCTGAAGCTGAGGCTCCAATACTTTGGCCACCTCATGAGAAGAGAAGACTCCCTGGAAAAGACCCTGATGCTGGGAAAGATTGAGGGCACAAGGAGAAGGGGACGACAGAGGACGAGATGGTTGGACAGTGTTCTCGAAGCTACCAGCATGAGTTTGACCAAACTGCGGGAGGCAGTGGAAGACGGGAGTGCTTGGGGTGCTCTGGTCCATGGGATCACGAAGAGTCGGACACAACTAAACAACAAGAGCATGGGACTCTTAATCCCAGAGTTGCGGGTTCGAACCCCACATCGGGCCAAAGATTCCTGCATTGCATGGGGTTGGACTAGCTAGGATTTCAAGGCTGTGGAATCTTGTGGTGTCAAACCTTGGTGAAAGAGTTTGGCCCAAACCTCGTTTGAGTTTGCAGTTTGTGCCTCTCCTTCCCATGACAGATAGTGTGGCACTTGGTATTGCATCAAATTGGTGTGTGCGGACACACACACACACACACACACCCTCCTCCCTGTCCTGTTCCCCAGGTACATTTAGCTTCAGCAAATGAATTACCTTGCTCCTTTGCTGCGAGTTCTCCTGCAGCCTGCCATATGTTTGAGCTTGATAGAGATGCTTATCTTCCAGGGCTAAAATTACCCAGTGAAGGATGACATTTCTTATCAAGGCCTTTGCTGAATCAGACAGAAGTGGTGTAGGGCTGTGTGTGTGTGTGTGTGTGTGTGTGTGTTGGAATCTGGTGCCCATTGCCAGGAAGTTGTGCTGCCAAAAGGACCTTGCCCTTTCATAGCTTCTGATCCAAGAGATCGTTGGGAAAACGTGCCTGGTTGTAGCCACAAAATGCAAACAAGAGGATACGTTCCAACAGCAGCTAGGATTCTCTGTGCACAAAGAAGGAAGGAAGGAAGAAGTTCCCACCAAAGAAGAATTACGGAATTGGCAAAGCTAACAGCAAAAATTTGAGATCCCAATGTGGACTCTTTTGTGGGAGAATGGCACACTGTTTAGACCTTGTTCATGAGAGACAATCTTACTCGGCTATGAGTGATCGCCAAAGAGAAGAGTCGTTTTGCTGGTAACTTGGGAAACTGCCTTATGCAGAATCCGACCATCCAGCTCAATATTGCTATTTACACTGAGTGGCAATGACTCTCCAGGGTTTCAGAAATCATGCAAAGCAGATTCTCTGCCACTGAGCCACACATGGGCCTTTCCTCTTAAATTTTTAAGGAATGCATGGATGTGAATCCTTGCATTTATGACCATCTGCAGCAGAGCCCTTTCCCATCCATAAAGGGCCAATAAAGCCGTTTACCTACAATGTTAAAACCGTAGGCATCAATTAAAACTGGGCGGGCAAACATTGGAAAGCTGCCTTAAGCTGAGTCAGGCTGTTGCTGCATCTCACTCAATAGTGCCTGCTCTGGCTGGTAGTGGCTCTCCAGGGCTGCCGGCAGGTGACGCCCCCAGCCTTTCCTGGAGATGCTGGGGATTTGAATCTGGGACCTTCTACAAGGGCTCCACCGCTGAGCCACTAATTCCTGTTATTGATTCCCAATTAACAGGAAATAGTGGTGGAATCTTCCCCAACTTGGGTATCAAAAGTTGGCTTTTGGAGCCACCCAGAAAGGAATATATATGGCACAATATGGGGCAAAATTAGAAAACATGTTTGTGTGTGATATTTCACCTTCTCATTCCAAATTGGGTGGAGGTTTACATCCTCTGCTTGCATTCTGCTAAAAGCAACGAGTGGACACTGCCTGGTTTGTTTAGTTTTGCACAAGCTGTGTCCCCTGTTGCTGGGGGTGGAGTGGGGGCTGCATTGAGGGACACCAGCAGAAAGCCTCCCTGCCAGTTTGCTTCATGATTTCATCCCCCCAAATTGTGCCTGGCACCCCCTTGCTCCCCACACCGAGACTGTACCATGTAAAAGTCCCCACCCCACCTGTTCTGTTTGTTAGTCACAGTCGGTCACAGTTGCCCCTGAGCTCACAGCCTTAGCAGATCCAGATCACTGCGGATCTCCGCAGGGAGGCTGAGATGCCCGACAGATGAGGGCTGTTCGCTGGGAATCTTTTTGTCTGGCTTGGGGGACCAACGGCCCTGAGAGCCTCTTGCTCTACCACCTGAGTTATCCTGAGGCACTGCGACAATGGATTTTTAAAATCACAGTTCAGTCTTGGTAGTTGTGCTACAGGGAGCAGGATAATGTTGGAGGGAGCGTGTGCCTATATGCCAGTTGCTGGAAACCATAATTAATAATAATAATAATAATAATAATAATAATAATAATAATAATATATTATTTGTACCCCACCCATCTGACTGGGTTTCCCCAGCCACTCTGGGCAGCTTCCAACAAAGACCAAAAATACACTAAAATCTCACACATTAAAAACTTCCCTGAACAGGGTTACAGGTATGTAACCCGAGGTACCACTGTAATTGTTTATCTCTTTGACATCTGATGAGTGGGCGTTCCACGGGGCGGGTGCCACTACCGAGAAGGCCCTCTGCCTGGTTCCCTGTAGAGTTCTGTCAATCTCAGGTCCTGCTTTCGGGCTTCCGAGTGGCATTTGTTGGCCACTGTGTGTAGCAGGATGCTGGACTCAGTGGGCCACTGGCCTGATTCTGCAGGGATTGTCTGAGGTGCTTCTGCAAGGCCACAGGTCAGCCCTGCTCAGCTGCTAGTGGCATTCATCCACAAACCACAACATTGCAGGTGTGTGTGAAGGGGCCCTGGCAGCTTACCCCACATGACGGATCGGGAAAAGTGCCAGCACACACACTGACTGCATTGCTCATTCTCAGGACCTGTGCAACTCACAGTTCTCTTCTCCAGAGACGCGCAGAGATCTTTGAGCATCTGTAAAAGTCGTGCGTAGAAGCATTTGAAACAAACATGCATTTCTGAACTGGATCGAGAAGCTAGAAACCACAAGGGTTTGTGCTTTCTTTCTTATTTTATAGAAATGATAAAGTATCAGAGGAGCGAGTGAGTCACGCTTCCTTTCTCTGAGTGCGTTCTTCCCCTTGTGCGATCTGCAGCAAGCCACTGAGGTGTTGAGAAGTTGGGGTCAGGGTTTTCCAAGACGGGGAGTACTCTCCGCTTCCGAATGAAGAATCCAGCAAGCGTGGGCCCAGGCAAAAGGGCAAGCAGATCGGGTTGGGGGGCGAAACCTTAACTTTCTGACCTTCCTGTTGACCTTGTATGGAAAGGTGAAAACAAATGAGCATCAGAGGCGAGAATTGGGGGGCCCAAAAGAGGCAGGCTCCCCCTCTAGCACAATAAACAAGCACAGAGAATTGCAGTTGCACCCTTTATTTTGCAGGCTGGAAGGGGTTTGCTGTTCCTTGTTTGACGGCACTCCTGGGAAATGTTTTTAAATTGTTTGTTTGTTTTATATACCGCCCTTCATCAAAAGATCTCAGGGTGGTTCCCAAGATAAAAACACAAATAGTTGAAGCAAAAAACAACAAAACAGTATACACCCCCATAAACACATTTAAAAGGCTGTGGAGTATTACTTAGGGGGGGCGTCATTTTGCTCACTGGCCGCCCTTTGGGAGGGATGGAGGGTTCCGATGATGGAGCCCACGGGGTCTTTCACAGATGAAGACCCTCATGCACACAAGGGGAGAACGAGGTCATACCCACTGGTCACGCACTCCACTGCCTCTGTGCCCACTGCCTGTGCCCTCACCCCACTGGCCAGCTAAGCTCAGCGTGTACAGCTGTTGGGATGTGTCCAAGGGAATGGGGGCATCAGGCAGGCCCCCAGCTGGCTCCAGCCCACCGGCCAACAGCTGGGCAAACTCTGGTCTCCCTTGGAAGAGCATCAAAACATCGGCACACAGCTTCAGAAGCCTTCAGAAACTTGAGCACGCCTTAAGCAGTGAATCTCACGCAACAGAAGCGGCGGACAGAGGCATATGTAAAGCGTATTTACAAGCATTTTATTCAGCATCAGGTCAAAGGAAAAACATGTCTGCTCCCCTTCGTGTCCAAGCAGCAGGAAGCACAAAGCAAAAGCAATTCACAAACAGAAGTTCCCAGCAAGCTGTGCTGGAATGTAAACAGACATGTGACATATAACAGCTCCACACATCTGTTTTGGTGGAACGGAACATCAGTATCCTAACAACAGCTTGCTCCTTCCCCATTTGCACTGAATGCATATGGTGGCCGTGGGGGTCTGGCCAGCAGCAGTCCCTCCCTCTGTTGCTGGGAGACATGACCAGAGTGTGCAGTCTGTCTGTCTGTCTGTCTCTCTCTCTTATGTGTTCACTAAGCACTTTATGGGATTTCTGCGCCGACTGCTCACTTTGAGACTTTGCAAGCTCAGTCGGTACAGCATGAGACTCTTAATCTCAAGGCTGTGGGTTCGAGCCCTGCCCTGGGCAAAAGATTCCTGCATTGCAGGGCAGGGGCTTGAGACTCGATGACCCCTGTGGTCCCTTCCAGCTCTACAGTTCTATGATCCTGTGCTTATCCCTTGCTCCATTTGAGAATTATAACTGGTTGGGCACCTTACGAAATGCACTCTTGAGCATTGGCTCTGTGCCAGAAGGTAGGCAGTTAGTTTGTAGAGAGTATAGGATTCTAGAGTTGGAAGGGAGATCCTGTGGATCATCTGGTCCAACCCCTTGCAATGTAGGAATATGCAGCTGTCCCAAACGGGGATCAAACCTGCAACTGTAGTGTTATCAGCACCGTGCGCTAACCAACTGAGCTATCCAGCTGAGTCCAGTCCATCCAACCCTCTGCCTTTTGCAAACTTTTCTCGACACAAACTCCTTGCAAAGTTGTTCACTTATTCAATTGCATTGCCTTCACTTCCTGTGTCATCGTCTACAATTGTATTCCAGAGTCAAGGTTATGTAATTAGAAGACAGAAGAGGCCAGAATAGAAGAACAGGATTGCTTCTTTGCTTCTTATGTCAGAGGTTTTCAACCTTTTAAAGTCCACAGCTTTTCTTTCTGTGGCACCCCTGTGGGGCTCAGGAGCCAAGTTGTGTCACCCGTTGCCTGAAGAGATGACAGCCTCACCCTTTTTTGAACACCCTCTCTTGGGAAGTGTCCCCTCAGCCTCCTCTCCTCTCCTCTTGGGAGTCCTCCAGGCAGCTGCTGCTGCCGTCTCTGGTCTCTGAGCTGCCCCCCTCTGTCCCTAAAAGGGGTGCCTTCCGGAAGCACCATTCGCCTGGGGAGCTTGTAGTTGGGGCTGCTGCAACAAACAGCTGTGCAAGCCTTTGGGAGGCAGAGATGTGAGAGGGCATAAGAGGAAGGCGGGAAGGAAAGTGTTACCAGCGGCACCCCGACCATCCTTCAAGGCAGCCCAGGGTGCCACGACACATTGGTTGAAAGCCACTGTCTTAGGCTGTTGGCTCTTAGGCTGCTCTTCTGTATGCTTTTTCGGGTTTTAGCTGGGACCTGCCCCAGCAGCCGTGAAAGTTGCACGGCAATTCATCTGACAAAAACATGACTCAGTTCGGTACTCGGCTTGGGCGTTACACCAGCCTGCATAAAATGAAAGTATTATTCTGCCCTCACACCTTTGCATAATTCATCTAACTTAACTGGGCTGGGCTAGCGGTTGCACAAGTAAATTTTTTATCATTTCCGCAAGAAGCGCAGGACAAAAACACTCTGCACCTTTCAAACCGCGAGCTCCTGCTGGTTTCCATTTGCTGATTCTGACTGTGGGTGGGATGTGTGTGTGAGAGAGAGAGAGAGGGGGGGGAACTTAATACAAATGGAAGCCGAGTTTAGAATTTCCTCCAGTCATGCGACACTGCCTTACGCAGAGTGAGAGCCTTGATCCTTCTAGCCCAGAATTCGTCAACCTGGTGCCCTCCAGATGCGTTGGACTTCAGCTTCTACCAGCTGGGAGTTGTGGTCCAAAACAGCCGATTGACCTCCAGGTGGACTACAACTCCCATCACCCCTGACCGTCGTCAATTCAGACTGGGGCTGATGGGAGTTGGAGTGCAACAGTATCTAGAGGACCACAGGTGGTTTGCCCCGATTCCAGGAGGACTGCCTCCCCAAGTGCCCCCAAAATGAGATTGCTGGCTGCTGACCTTCCATGTGCTTATCTGTCTCGATCTTGATCTCTCTACATACATGCTGGTACAGTCATACCTCATGTTGCGTCCGCTTCAGGTTGCGGACAGCCGAAACCCGGAAGTACCGGAACGGGTTACTTCTGGGTTTTGGCAGTCGCGCATGAGCAGAAGCATTAAATCGTGTTTTGCACATTTGCAGAAGCGCCGAATCGCAACCTGTGTGTGCGCAAATGCGGGTTGCGAATGTGCATCATTCATGGATCACTTTCGCAACCGAAGCATCCACTGTATTTGTAAATAATAATTTTTCAAATGACTTATGGATTTGGCCACTGTTGCAGGGGCCAAGCTCCGTTTATGTTTGTGGTGTCCAGTTAAAAACTGCTATTTAAAATGTGACTTTAGCTACGTGTCACTGATGTGAATTTTGCATTAGTTCATGCGTTTCGACAAAACAAATAGAAAATGCGACCAAATTTTTTTGGGTGGGGGGGAAATGGGGGACATCTTGAGACTAGATATTCTGTTGTGGCACCTGTAGCCCAGGTTTCAGGAGCTGTCTGGCAAATATCTCACCTGTCTGAATTTCTGTACATTTCGGCTTCGGCCTTCATGGTCCGGCAGAGGATATTTATCCTTGCGAGACTCTCTCTCTCTCGTGAACAAGCCGCTCAGTGCTTCAGCGCTTCAGTTACCCATGCTAAGCTCTCCAAACACGGAAGGTTTTCCGGGACACTCCCTTGTCGACCTTCGAAGAAATTGAGCGACAGGCACGTTGCGCCTTTGCTGAATCAAGGCTGCTGACTGGGAGATAAGCATCTCTCATTAACCAAAGGCGGAAATTAATAAATGGCTGCAAACCTCTGGGTGAGAGCTATATTTACACTGTCAGCGCAGCAGGTTTAGAAACTACTTCACAACTCTGATGTGTGCAAGGGGAAAAGCAACCAGACACCGACAGAGTGCAGGCACAAACTGTAGCCCTGAAGACTCAAATTCTGTGGCTGGGGTTTTTATGTCCGTTTAAGCATGGGTGCCTAAACATTCGCGAGCTGCATAAGCAGCTCAGGGTACAAGAATTGGAGTTCTGCTGAATTTTGGTGCGCTGACTCATACAGTGCATCTATTTCTGTGTATGCTTAACGGTTATTTAGCTTCAGGTAGATCTGACGCAGTCGAGATAAATAAAAATAAAATAAAAAATTGTCCAGTAGCACCTTAGAGACCAACTAAGTCTATTCTGGGTATAAGCTTTTGTGTGCATGCACACTTCTTCAGATACACTGAAGTGTGGGAGGGTGGGGTGAGGTTTTTTCTCAGAAGGATAGTAGGAGATGGGTGATTGACTCAATGGGTATGGTAAACCTGTTGATGACTGTAAACAGGTTAACAAGTTATTTAGCTGCGGGAGGCAGTGGAAGACGGGAGTGCCTGGCGTGCTCTGGTCCATGGGGTCACAAAGAGTCGGACACGACTAAATGACTTAACAACAACAACAAAAACAACATAGAATTGTAAGCTGGAAGGGATCCCAAGCGTCTTCTAAGTCCAACCCCCTGCAATGCAAGAATCTCAACTAGATCATAAATAACAGATGGCCATCCAGTCTCTGCTTAAAAACCACCAAGGAAGGAGAGTTCACCACCTCTCATTGGAGCCTGTTGTACTGTTTAACACAGGGTTTCCCAAACTTGAATCTCCAGCTGTTTGTGGACTACAGTTCCCATCATCTCTGACCGCTGGTCTTGTTAGCTAAGGATGATGGGAATTATAGTCCAAAAACAGCTGGAGACCCAAATTTGAGAGACTCTGGTTTCACAGATATTTTAAACGTGCATAAACAAATGGTGGTTGATACGGTTTCAGATATGGAACTTGACTTTTCAGAGTCATAAAGAACCATCCTAATTACCAGCAAAGAAAATCCTGTTGTTTACAGTGCATAGAGTGTAAACCAAAATATGACAGACCATAAATTTGGCATCCCAAACATGACGTCCTCCATGTTTTGGACCTCAACCTTCATGATCCTCATCATTGGCCAGGCTAATGGGAACTGAAGTCCAACAAAACCTGGAGTTCCCCATCCCAGCTATAGAGAACATAGCACTTTTCAAATCGTCCTCATTGCAAGGGGAGGCAGGATTAGGGGCAGTAAATCCATGTGGTTTTATCACCAACACCATCATTTGTTTACTTAATTGAATTTTTTTTTGCCTGCCCTTTACAATACGAACCTAGGGTAAGTAATTGAAATTTAGAGGCGCCATATTGAAAACAGCTTAAAATTATTTGCACACGTTGTCTTGGGGAATCGTACAAAAGGTGTACAATGCACAGAGATTGTGGAAATAAGCATAGGGAATGTAAAAGCCATAGTGAATCATCTTCTATTTATACTATTTATCTTCTATTTTCTACCCAAAGCAGCTCACAACATTTCGAAGAATAGTCATTCAATTTAATCAAACGTCAGCCTTATACAGATGTTACGCTTGCAATTTGAGTAAGGTTCGTGGGTAGGTTGGGGCAGAGTTTGTGGCCATGTGTCCTGCTGTCGCCCACCCCCCAGAACACATGTTCAGTGTACATTTATATAGGAAGTTGCCTTGAGTTATGGTAAATTATGTTGGTTATGGGTAGAGCAACAAAATTATGCTGGAGCTCCACTCCCTGAAATTTTGCTTGTACCTCCTTCTGCTTTCCCCCCTCAGCTGTTCACTGGGCATTTAATTTATTTCCAGTCCCTTGAGGACCAGAAACCTGTTCTTTTTAAAATAAAAATCAAAAATCGTCTTTCCCTGGGTGTCAAATTTCTGAACCTGACACAGATTTCTGTAATTTCTGTGGCAAACAGCGCCGACACAAAAAATATTACTTCACCCCCCTCAATGTGTGTCTCTCTGTGTGTGTCTGTGTGGTAGTTTTAGACACATCGATTCCTCAACATGCATGGCTTCCTCTGGGGAGAGAAATAATGGATGCAGCAGTCTTTCAGGGGAGGAAAACGCAACGACTGCATAGAAATCTACCTCGTATGCCTTCAGCCAGTTAAGGTTATTGTGGGGGTGGTTCTGTGCTTTTGATTTAGCTTTCAAGAAATGGTTCAGTAAACTCTCAGTGAAAGCTTTTTTTAAAAAAAAAATAAGGGCAAACAGAGTAGTAGTACAGGAAAATCCAGCCGATACGATTGCTATGTAGTTTTTGGTGGGGTTTTTTATTTATTTAAAAAAAGCATATCTCCTCCCCCGGACTTTCAGAAGTGTAGTGGGTTACCTTTTGATCTTGCTGTTCCTAGGGTGGAGGTGAAGATTGAGGTGGAAATGTGAGCAATGCTCTTCTGTGAGAATTTAAGAGGGGGAGGCCAGCATCGTGTGAACTCGCTCCTCTGGGGAACTCCTTGGGGATGCCCTCATCTCACAGATAACACCTGAGGCGAGGGTTTTGTTTTTTTTCAGAGGTCATGCTTTTAAAAACCCACACGTGCCCAAACCCACCCACGGTTTATTGGAAGTTGCAGAAGACCAGTGAACTGAAAGGTTTCACCTTCCTGGGGGTGTGAGCTTGAAAAATATTATATTAATAAGGGGATTCACCCCCTCCTTTAAAAAAAAAAATCAGCTAAAAGTACCCTGCATATTTTAAGATGGCTTGGAAGGCCCAGCTGCACTATACATTTAATAATAATAATAATAATAATAATAATAATAATAATAATAGTTAGCTGCCCAGAGTGGCTGGGGAAACTCAGCCAGATGCGCGGGGTATAAATAATAAATTATTATTATTATTATTTAAAGCAGCACCATTAGCAAACGACAGTTCCCAAGGAGCCAATTCCTAAAGTAGCACCCAGAGTGCTTTAGATACAAAGTGTAAATGTCACCGAAGTGTGCACTTGTGCTCTGGCACCTCTCTCTGTAGCAATCGAGCAGTGCACCACGGCGCGCCAAAACACTGCACGGCCGTTTGCTGCCTTTATAATAATAATATTACGATAATTTATTATACCCTGCCCATCTGGCTTTGTTTCCCCAGCCACTCTGGGCGGCTCCCAACAGAATATTAAAAATATGGTAAAACTTCAAACATTAAAAGCTTCCCTAAACAAGGCTGCCTTCAGATGTCTTCTAAAAGTCAGATAGTTGTTGATTTCCTTGACATCTGATGGGAGGGTGTTCCACAGGGCGGGCGCCACTACCAAGAAGGCCTTCTGCCTGGTTCCTTGTAACCTCACTTCTCGCAGCGAGGGAACCGCCAGAAGGCCCTTGGAGCTGGACCTCAGTGTCCGGGCTGAGTGATGGGGGTGGAGATGCTCCTTCAGGTATACTGGGCCGAAGGCCGTTTAGGGCTTTAAAGGTCAGCACCAACACTTTGAATTGTGCTTGGAAACATACTGGAAGCCAAAGTAGGTCTTTCAAAACAGGTGTTATGTGGTCTCGGTGGCCACTCCCAGTCTAGCTGCAGCTTTCTGGATTAGTTGTAGTTTCTGGGTCACCTTCAAAGGTAGCCCCACATAGAGCACATGGCAGTAGTCCAAGTAAGAGGTAACTAGAGCATGCACCACTCTGGCGAGACAGTCTGCGGACAGATAGGGTCTCAGCCTGCGTACCAGGTGGAGCTGGTAAACAGCTGCCCTGGACACAGAATTGACCTGTGCCTCCATGGAAAGCTGTGAGTCCAAAATGACTCCCAGGATGCGCACCTGGTCCTTCAGGGGCACAGTTACCCCATTCAGGACCAGGGAATCCCCCACACCTGCCTGCCACCTGTCCTCCCAAAATAGTACTTCTGTCTTGTCAGGATTCAACCTCAATCTGTTAGCCGCCATCCATCCTCCAACCGCCTCCAGACACTCACACAGTGCCAAGAGCTACCTGAACGGCTGTTTGCGCCCGGTTTCCCGAAGAACAATAGCTCGTTAATCAAAGGAACTGGGCCAAGCACTTTCCCTGCCAGGAAAGGAGAAGCCAGGCCTGTTCTTTTGTTACAGGTGCCGCTTCAGCTAGCTAAGTAACAGACCTTCTGGCCGTCGGCACAATGCTGTGTTTGTGGGCAACGTATGTTTCTAGGAGAGGCCCAAAGCCTCTCTTAATATGATTGGCGTTCAGTGACATAGGGGTCTCACAACCTCCACCTGCATGCAAAGAAGGGCTTTGGCAGTTGGAGCATACGAGAACCATGTTGTTGTTGTTGTTTAGTCGTTTGGTCGTGTCCGACTCTTTGTGACCCCATGGACCAGAGCACGCCAGGCACTCCTGTCTTCCACTGCCTCCCGCAGTTTGGTCAAACTCATGCTGGTAGCTTCGAGAACACTGTCCAGCCATCTTGTCCTTCGCTGACAGATGGATGCCATCGAAAAACAAGGCGGCCAATCTTTTTGCATGCTTGCAAAGCCTTTTCCATGCAGGAAGTGACACCAAAGTTTTAGGGCACATCCCAGACAAGCAAAAATATGGAACGAGTGTGCATGGCAGAGATAGTGAAGGGTGTGGCCTAGGGGAAGGGGGTGTGGCTTGGGAGAGTCCTGAGGGCCAGATAGCGGGGCTTTGAGGGCATCATTCGACTACCAGGTCTGAAGTTCTCCAGTCTTGCCTTTTTTTTTTTTTTAAGGGCACATAACTGTTCTTTATTGCCGCAAAGTAGACACTTTAATTTGAGCACACAGTCAATATAGAGTATGTTTACATTATGCAGTGCTCACGTTATTTAACGGCTAACTTTTAATGGCATGCTTTCAATTAATTCCTTTTTTTAAAACAACAGAATAAAACTTTATTTAGAGTTCAACAATAACAAAGGAAAAAACCACAGTAGTTGCTACATCAAATCATTACAATTAACCAATTTAAACAATATATAAATACTAATAAAGAAATTACACAACATCACTTTTAACTTACTGAGGTTTTCATATTACACTTTTATCTCTTTATCTTTTTCTTAACATAACCGATTAGACTCATTGTATTATTATTTCTACAATTTTTTCACACACAGTTCCAAATTATTGTATTTCTTTCTTTGTTCTCATCAAATATCAAAAAACATTATATTTGTTTGCTTTACAAGGATCATTCTATTTCTGCCAGGAGATATTTGTTATTGCAATACTTTGCCAAATACTCATTAAAGATTTTCCATTCTTTCTGTACTTTCTGTTTTGGATACCCTGTAATTCTCCCTGTCATTATGGCCATCTGTAGATATTCTATCATTTGGATGGACCTGCAGCCTTGCCTTAAAGAGAGGGAAAACCCAAGAAACATTGATAGCCACAGAGATATTCAGAGATACTAAGGGAATGTCGGTGGTGAAATGTTCCCTTTTATCTGTGTTTTTGTGTGCCCTGGTTTTCATGAGACTCATCTTTTCCAAGCAGTTACAGGTTCAGTTCTCTCACCTGCCTTCGGCCCGAGAGGAAAGAAAAGGAGGCTGTGACCTTAAAAAGGAGTTTAGTGGGGAAAGGTTGGGAGTGCTGATCTGAAGAGAAAGGAATAACTGCTAAGCAACAGCCTTGAGCTCAGGCTGCCTGTTGATGCTTTTACAATAAAATTCCCCTTTTTTGCTTTTAACAGATCTCTGAGAGGAACAGAACTGGGTGACGGAACGGCACCTATTAGATAAGTATTACAAGCAGCTTACTCTGGGGTGATTCAGGCGGGCATAAAATGGTTTTATTTCTGTTTTATTTCCAACTTCTGAGTTTCAAAGAAGAATGTTGTGGGTGCTTCTTATCTATGCAGTTAGTGGCTTTCCTCTATTTTTCTTTGTTTTCCAGTAGCGGGCTACCAACTTCTTCTGCCAAAGTTCGATTTGAGGAAGATGTGAGGAGATTAGAGGTGGTTGGAAGCAGGAATACAATGCTTTATCCAATTAATCGGTTAAATCAAGGTGAGTCGGCCTAGTGCCATCCAGTGTCACTGGACTCCAACTCCCAGAAGTCCATGCCAGCTTGGCTAGAATTGCAGCTCAACAACTACAAGAGGCCACCAGATGTTGGCTACTTCTGGGTCGGAGTCATCAGTTAAAAAACAAAGATGACCTACTGCAAATGTGCCCTGGTTAACCAGGCAGAAGATGATGATAGATAGATAGATGATAGATAGATAGATAGATAGATAGATAGATAGATAGATAGATATAGATAGATGATAGATAGATAGATAGATAGATAGATAGATAGATAGATGATAGATAGATAGATAGATAGATGATAGATAGATAGATAGATAGATAGATAGATAGATAGATAGATAGATATAGATAGATGATAGATAGATAGATAGATAGATAGATAGATAGATAGATGATAGATAGATAGATAGATAGATAGATAGATAGATAGATAGATAGATAGATAGATAGATAGATAGATAGATAGATAGATGATAGATAGATAGATAGATAGATAGATAGATGATGATAGATAGATAGATAGATAGATAGATGATAGATAGATAGATAGATAGATAGATAGATAGATAGATAGATGATATATTCTTAAACCCAGTGCAGTATACTGGTTGAAGTGCAATAGATACATTTTTAAACCCAGTGCAGTATACTGGTTGAAGTGGCGGACTTAAGACTAGGAAAGCCTAACTTCAAATTCTCACTCACCCACTAAGTTGTCTGGGTGACCTCAGTCCAGTCACAATCTTGAAGACTAGTCTTATCTCATAGATTGTTGTGAGGATAAAATAGACCAGGGAGGAATCGCCTACGTATCGCCGAGCTTTTTTAAGGTATTGCAGGATACAAATGTGGTAAATAAATCAGTAAAACCTGGATTGCGGGCACCCTCTTCAGTGTTATTGAATTACTGAGCCATCATCATCATCATATTATTTTAGGAAGGTGTTTGGGTTTTCTTAATGTTTCATTATGTGTTGGAAGCCGCCCAGAGTGGCATGGGCAACCCAGCCAGATGGGTGGGGTATTTTTTTATTATTATTATTATTATTATTATTATTACCTCCTGGTTCTCACACAAGAGAGAATGATTTTCCTACAGAGGGATGAGGGCCCTGTGACCCCTCTTTATGTTGCTGGGCAACCACTCCCAGAGTCGCTAACCATTGGCCACGCTGTCCGGGGCTGATGGGAGCCTGTCCCCCACAACACCTGGAGGAGCCACACGTTCCCCACCCTGTCCTACAGCGAGGGCTGCTTCAACCCACACATGTATGAGAGGCAGTGTGGCTTAGTGGTTAGAGCGTCGGACTGGGACATTGGAGACCCACTCGGACATTGAAGCGTGCTGGGTGACCTTGGAGTCAGTCACTGCCTCTTTGCCTAACCTACCTCACAGGGTTGTTAAGAGGATAAAACCGGGGAAAGGAGAATCCCATTCACCACCTGGAGAAAAAGGTGAGATTTAAATGCAGTGCAGTATGTATATGTGTGTGTGCGTGCGCATACACACACACACACACACACACACACACACACACACACACGGCTTCTACTTCTTTTGCTTCAGAACCGTTGTTTGACTCATATCCAGATGTATGCAAATGTAACGGAACCGTTTAACGAAAATGCAGCATGATTAATCAGCTGAGGTTTCTGAGCTGAGCTTGATAGCAATCTGAAAAGCGGTTCCTAAAAATCCTTGGGCCTGTGGAACAGCAGGCCACAAGCGAGGCACAACGCTGAAATGCGCACCTTCCCACCCAAACATGTCCCTCTCCCATCCAAACATCTCCCCTTTATCTTTCTACTAATCGCTGCCCGTTAAATTTCCCAAAGCGATTCCCCGATAATTTCTTTTTACACTGTTTTCATATGTTAAAAACGACCCCTAGCTTTATAGAGCTTTGGACACCAGTATCGGCACTTTCAACTTAGCTCAGTTGGCAGCTGGTGCAATTCCTAGTGCCATTCATAGATCTCATGACGGCCGTCTGCTGATAGTAGAGGATTTTTTTTTTGGCTTTCAGCATTTTCCCACAGCGGATTCGCAGCTCAGATGGCAGGTCCCCATGGTCAGAGAAGAAGGCGCTTCAAATGTTTCCATGTCACGCCTGCTTGAAAGCGTTTCCCAGCTCTTACAGAACCTCGATCCGTCTTCTTAAAGCAGTGAGCGCAGAAAAAGTAACCAAGACCCAAGAAAAACGAATGCTGCAATTAGCTTAACGCTTAAGGTTTTCAAACTGTTTGGAAAAAATGCTTATTGACGTGTTCTTTCGATTCTTGAGCGAAGCAACAGAGCAGCTGTCTTTCCAGCACACACCTGCCCAGACTTTGATGCAGAGGGCAGCAATAACCCCATGCCAAAACTTTTCCAGTTGACTACTGAAAAAGAGGGACATGGGTGGAGCTGTGGTCTAAACCACAGAGCCTAGGGCTTGCTGATCAGAAGGTCAGTGCTTCGAATCCCCGCAATGGGGTGAGCTCCCGTTGCTCGGTCCCGGCTCCTGCCCACCTAGCACTTTGAAAGCACATCAAAGTGCAAGTAGATAAATAGGTACCGCTCCGGTGGGAAGGTAAACGGCGTTTCCGTGCGCTGCTCTGGTTCGCCAGAAGCGGCTTAGTAACGCTGGCCACATGATCCGCCAGTAAAGCGAGATGAGCGCCGCAACCCCAGAGTTGGCCATGACTGGACCTAATGGTCAGGGGTCCCTTTACCTTTACTGTAAAAGAGCCTCAATTGTTAGTTTAATCCTCACAACGACCCTGTGAAGTAGGTTAGACCTTAGGGCTGGGTGATCTATCAATATACCATCGCAAACCGGTTTGAAGTCCATATTGTGATATCAGATTCATAATTTGTGTGTGTGTGTGTGTGTGTGTGTGTGTGTGTGTGTGTGTGTGTGTTATGCAAAAATCACAATGCAGGGAAAACCATGAAGCTAGCAAGTGCCTCTATATTCGTAGCTCCATTCGTATTTTGGACATTGTGATATATTGTGATGTTTAACTGGTTATATATCACAATGTTGAAAACCGGATGTTTCCCAGCCCTATTAGGCTTACTGGGAAATGATATACAATGAATTGAAAATGATGTTTCAAAATAACTTTTGTAAAAAAACAAAACAAAAGCTTTTCTTTGGGGAAATATAGGGATAGAACTACCTAAATTGCATAGAAACTTATTCATGTATGCTACTACAGCAGCAAGAATGCTATTTGCCCCAAAGTGGGAAGAAGCAGAAGTCCCAGCAAAGGAAGAATGGATTAAAAAAAGCCTTATGGAATATGCAGAAATGGTGAAACGTACCAGAAGAATAAGAAATCAAGATAACAAACTTTTTATAAAAGAATGGAAATGGTTTATTGAATATTTACAGATAAATTGCAAACAGATAAAAACATTGTCAGGATTATTGTAACAACCTGCAGTTTCATAAGAGTATATGTTTAAAGTAGATAATTAAATGAGCAAATTAAATGAATTTGGATATGCAGAAGGTATATAAACGGCCTTGATCCTGTATACCTGAAGGAGCGTCTCCACCCCCATCATTCAGCCTGGACTCTGAGGTCCAGCTCCAAGGGCCTTCTGGGGGTTCCCTCCCTGCGAGAATGAGGTTACAGGGAACCAGGCAGAGGGCCTTCTCGGTAATGGCGCCCGCCCTGTGGAACGCCCTCCCGTCAGATGTGAAGGAAATAAGCAGCTATCTTATCTTTAAAAGACATCTGAAGGCAGCCCTGTTTAGGGAAGTTTTAAATATTTAATGCTGTATTGTTTTTAACACTCGATTGGGAGCCGCTTGACTTCATCAGGCAAGGCCTTCTTCCACCTGCCTTGCCCCACCCTCCAGTCCTTGCTTCTCAATTTGTATTGTGTTATTTTATGTACTGTGGCTTGCTGTTGTTTTGTTGATTGTAGTTTAGAAATTATTCATTGTACCGGTAATTGTTAAGTGTGGATTTCTGTTTAATTTCTATCTGCTGATATTATTATTCTATATGGTTCTAATGATTGTTGATTGTTACTTTATTTGATGTAGGTTGCTTATTTCAAAGTTACGTTTTATTTTCACATTTTTATATTGCATTAGATTGTTATAAGGTATGCATTCTTTGTTTCATTTTTAAAATCATTTTTATTGATTTTCCAATAAAAACAGCCAATTAACATATCCATATCATAATCCAATTAAAAACAATAAACTAAAATAAAAAAGACCAAATTACAGTCCAAATTACCGTATTTTTCGCCCCATAGGGTGCACCAGCCCATAGGACGCACCTAGTTTTTTTTGGGGGGGGGGAATAAGGGGGGGGAATTTCCCCAGGCGCGGGGCTGGGGCGGGGGATGCCCGAGCTTCCCCTTACCCCAGCCCCCAGAACAGGCTGCTATCCGCAAGCCTAGGGAGCCTGGCAGGAAGTCATGCTGGTCTCCCCAGGCTTGTGGATATCAGTCCCCCGAGCTTGTGGGGCTGGCGGTGGGAAGAAGCGCGCTTCTCCCCAGCGCCAGCCTCCAAACCAGGTTGGGGAACAGCGGGATGGCGGCGCTCCACCTCCCCGCTGTCCCCCGAGCTTGTGGGGCTGCCCAATATCTGCACGAAGCCCGGGGCGCGCTGTGCAGCGCGTCCCAGGCTGCTATCCGCAAGCCTTGGGAGCCCGACGGGAACTTCTGCAGAGCTCCCAAGGCTTGCGGATAGCTTCCTGAAGCCTGGAGAGCGAGAGGGGTCGGTGCGAAAGCCTGCATTCGCCCCATAGGATGCACACACATTTCCCCTTCATTTTTGGAGGGGAAAAAGTGCGTCCTATAGGGTGAAAAATACGGTATTTTTTTCTTTTTCTTTTCAGGGCTCCCCATAGTCTGGACCTCCGAAGTGTATCTCGAATATCTTCGTTCCTGCATCTTCTCATTCTTTGTTTCTTCAGCTTGTAAACCGCCTTGCGTATTGTAAGATAGAAAGACAGTATACAAATTAAAAGTGATAATGATGATTATGATGTTTGCAGTTCTGGTGACCTCGGCTCCAAAAGGATAATGCAGAGTTGGAAAAGGTTCAGATCACCAAGATGATGAAGGGTAGCTCCCTTATGAAGAAAACTCGCAGTGTTTGGGTCTTTTTCGTTTAGAGAGAAAAGTGGTGAGTCAGACTATCGAGCCACCCAGCTCAATGCAAACACTGGCTGGCAACGTTCCTCCAGGGTTTCACAGAGGGCAGCTTCTCAGCTCCTAACCTGACGGTGCTCAGAATTGAAACCGGTACTTTTTTGCATGCAAAAGAGGTGCTCTACCACGAGAGACCTGTGGCCTCCCGCTCCCCGTCCTCAGTTAACACACTTGACATGAGAGTGTTATCAGTTGTCATAGTCATAGTAATGATGCAGATATGATGTGTGGGAGCCTCTTAGTCATTTGGTCTTCGGTCTGAACAGTGGAAAGGAAAGTCCGCTTCTGTCCTTTTCCATCCTTTCAGGGGCATCGCAAAGCCCATTGATAGGTACTTCCCCCTCTGCACTCTCAGGAGGTTCAGATATTCAAATCTGCCAACAGGTTTTCTCACCCTGTTGCAAATTTGCGGGCTCCCTTTAAAGGGAGTTTCCAGCCCCGTGGGCTGATCTTAGTAAGCCAGCATTTAAATAGATACCTCGTGGCTTAGCAGCCTTGGTTGGAAGAAAAGGGCGGGGGGCAGAATAGAGAGGCATCCTTGACAGGTTGGTTTCTGAGAAGCGTAGCAAACTTCCCCAAGCGTGATTGAAAACAAAAGACATTTTTTTTAAAAAAAAATGAAAAATCGCTCAGGTGATCAAATGTTCTTCGGCTTGGACCTCTTAGAGAGCAAAGAAACAAAGTCTCTCGCCCTCGCCCCTTTTCCACGATGCTCTTTAAAGGGGTTTAAAGGAGAGTTTGGGGGTTGCGGTGCATCTTCTCGATCCTCAAAGCACTTCGCGGTCTGCGGTTTGCGGCAGTTCGGCTGGAATGGTGGACTCAAGCAAACCGTTCGCTGGCAGCGCCGTCTAGTGCGTGCTTGCTCAGAACTAATCACTCAGTTTTTACAGTTGAGGCTTACTCCCTAGTAAGTGGGCTTAAGGTTTTTTTAAAAAGAAAAGAAAGAAAGAAAGAAAGAGAGTATTTATTTATTTATTTATTTATTTATTTATTTATTTATTTGGAATACTTGTAAACCGCATTTCCGTATAAAATAACCATAAGGCAATATACGACCTAAAAATAAATAAAATATGCAAGGAACACAGGGAGCTGCCTGAGACAAGTCAAATCATTGGTCTATCCAGCACAGTATTGTCTACACAGGCAGGCAGCAGTGCTCTAGGGGTTCAGGCAGAGGTATTTCCGAGCCCCACATGGAAACACCGCAAATCGAATATGGCAGGTTTTGCATGCAGCGCACGGGCTGAACCGCAGTTGCTTCCCCCTAAATTCTGCACAAAGTGCGAATTCTGAAAACCTGCACATATTATGCAATCAAAGCACATTTATACGTGCCCCTTTTTTTTATTATTGCAAATTGCAAAAAGGTGAGGGGCGAATTGCTTTGCGTTGAAGGTTTGCCCCTTGTAATCCTCCTTTGACACACTTCTGATAGTTCATTCGGCCTTCCCACCCATCTTTGTACTAGAAGCTTGCTGTCCCCCGTTTAGGGGAGAAAAACGAATGCGAAATCCTTTCAATTTTTGAGCTCCGTTCCAATTCCTGCACTTTTTCGATTGCAGAGTGCAGGGTCCCTCGAGAAAAAGCAGCTGAGAAGCACACACTTCTAACGACTGGCGCTGTTGTGCAAAAGGCCTTGCATGCCTTTTTAGCAGCTGGGTGCAAGGGCGAATTCTGGAAACGGCATGTTTTTTTTCTACTGCATCTTCCTTCCCTCACACGCCAGTTGCCCAAGTGCTCCATTTCCTCACTTCCCCCCACCCTCTCTCTTCCTTCCAGCCTCCCTTACCCTTTGAACACCGCCTGTTTCCACCCAGAAACGGGCCCTAGACCTGTGGGGAGCTGCTTCTAGCATTGCTCTGATCCCAAAAGTGGCGGCATGCTTTGGGGATGTACTGGGCGCTGAGCCACACCCGCAAATGCTCCAAGGCTCCCGTCACACACTTTGAGAAACTCTTTCCTATACTTGCAAAGCCATATTGAAAAATCAGAATTCCTATTAGAATAAACAAGTTCCGTTTTAAATACTGGAATACTAAATAAGATGGATAACAATGTGTAATAGAAAAAGAAGCATGAAATTAGGTTAAAGGTGTGTGAAAGAAAGCAATAGAAGTGGAAAGAAATTGCAATTGAGTAGATTGGAAGTCTAACACAAAGGTGGGGTGAGGGGTGGTGGATGGTGATGGGAAAAGGAATTATCTGTGGGATTGAGTGTAGGTATGTTTGAACATTTTAAAGGATTGTATGAAATTGTATGTTTGTATATTTGTATATTTGCAATATGTTTGTATTAATGCTGAATTATTTTAACAATAAAAACTTTTCAAAAAAGAGAGAGAGAAACTCCTTCCTAAAGTTTAAGGCCTAAACAAACCCCCAGCTGCTGTTTCCCCCTCTGCCACCATTTTGACAGCTCAGGCTTCCTGGATTTTTGAGGGAATCCTCAGACACAGCCACCAGCTGACCAGGCTGCTTTCCTCCTTCCTGATTGATATTCCTGGCTTGGTGCAATTCTGACAGACCACCGTGGGGAACGTAAAAATAACATGCCAGAAGCACAGCTTTTAACAGTTAGCCGCTCTGCTTTGGAATTTGCCTTCCTCCCAACGAGGCGTGTTGTTTTCTGAGGCGTTTTTGACTGCCCCCTCCTTCCTTTAGGAGTCCAACACCACGTATTGCCATTTCTCCTTTCTTTTTGCCCTCCTGTTTTATTTTTTAATATATCTTTATTAATTTAAAATAAATACATTTATGAAAAAAACAGATGTACATACAAGTAAGCAAACATACAATCAAACGAACAAATAACAGAAGAATCAAACAAACCACCACACTATAAGATAAAGGTAAAGGGACCCCTGACCATTAGGTCCAGTCATGGCCGACTCTGGGGTTGCGGTGCTCATCTCGCTTTATTGGCCGAGGGAGCCGGCGTACAGCTTCCGGGTCATGTGGCCAGCATGACTAAGACGCTTCTGGCGAACCAGAGCAGCGCATGGAAACGCCGTTTACCTTCCCGCCGGAGTGGTACCTATTTATCTACTTGCACTTTGACGTGCTTTCGAACTGCTAGGTTGGCAGGAGCAGGGACCGATCAACGGGAGCTCACAGCATCACGGGGATTCGAACCGCAGACCTTCTGATCAGCAAGTCCTAGGCTCTGTGGTTTAACCCACAGTGCCACCCGCGTTCCTTTTTACACTATAAGATATAAGAAGATTAAAATAATTATTATCATATTCATTAATTGGAAGTCAGTTTTAAATTTCTTCTCTATAAGATTTATAATAGTGTTCAATACCAGGAGTATATATGATGATTTTATCATGTTTTTAATATTTTGTTGGGAGCCACCCTGATGGGTGGGGTATAAAAAATTACAATATATTACTACTACTACTACTACTACTATGATGAAAGGCAGGTAAGAAATAACAACAACAACGTAGTAATAACAATAATAATTATTTTATTTTATTTATTTTGAAACATAGGTTCCTCCAGAGAATTCTGAGGTCGATCGATGTCCATTGGGCGTGTATTCAAATTTGCCACCATTTTTCATATCATTTGGGGAGCTGGATCATAGAGGAGCAGAAACCAATATGGCACCCTCCAGACGTCCACTACAATTCCCACCACCCCTGGCCATTGTCCATGTTTGCTGGGGCTGATGGGAGTTGTAGGCGGACAACTGTAGCTGGAGGAAACCACATTGGCTGCTTCTGTTAACAGAGTAATGTCATGGAATTGCAGGAAAGGGAGAAATGAGTAGTTTCTTCCACCTACCTAGCGGCCTACAACAGAAGCCCAGTCCACAGTGAGGTCCATAATGTCCACTTATTAAAAGCCAGCTCCATGCCTCAGTTAATCCCATGTATTTGAAGGTCAGTATTCTGGCTTCATTCCCCTGAACGCAGTGGAGGGGGTGTGCCCTAGAATTTCAATACGCCTGGGTTGCGGTTGTGCACTGCAAGTTTGTTCGATTAAAAGCGCCGTAAAACGCCTCTCCATTTCCATCCCATATTTCGCCGTTGGCTCTTTATGAAGAAAAAAGCCACTGGATTCTAGAACGCTTGCCAGGAAGCCGAGTTGGGTCTGCCAGGCTGGAAGTCCTTGTGGTAAAATGGTGGCCTTGCGAGATGCAAATCCCAGCATGAGTTGGCGGGCGAAGACAGCGAAACGTTTTTATATAAGTTAAAGAAAAACCCCAAGCAAATCTTGGACTGTGGATCAAAGCGAGAGGGGAGGCTGTGCTAAATTTATTCCCCACACAACCAAGCCATTGGGGCTTTGTGGCATTGCTCTGTAGGGGAAATATTGATGGTCTTGTAAATATAAAGTTATGACAATGGGAGTCTGCGTGTCCTGAGGGACCCAGGGCATTGGATAACTTAATTTCTGGGCCCACGGGAAGGATGTAACAAAATCCTACCCTCACAAATAATATTATTTAGCACTGGATAGCTCAGTTGGTTATTGCGTGGTGCTGATAATGCCAAAGTTGCGGGTTCAATCCCTCTATGGGACAGCTGCCTATTCCTGCATTGCAGGGAGTTGGACTACATGTTCCTCGTGTTCATAGATCTTCACATGCATTACCTGAGGAAACTTAGCTTGCAACAACCCCAGTCAACAACAACAACAACAACAGTAGTAAAGGTAAAGGGACCCCTGACCATTAGGTCCAGTCGTGGCCGACTCTGGGGTTACGGCGCTCATCTCACTTTACTGGCCGAGTGAGCCGGTGTGCAGCTTCCGGGTCATGTGGCCAGCATGACCAAGCCGCTTCTGGTGAACCAAAACAGCGCACGGAAACGCCGTTTACCTTCCCGCTGGAGCGGTACCTATTTATCTACTTGCATTTTGACGTGCTTTCAAACTGCTAGGTTAGCAGGAGCAGGGACCGAGCAACGGGAGCTCATCCCGTCGCGGGGATTTGAACCGCTGACCTTCTGACCGGCAAGTCCTAGGCTCTGTGGTTTAACCCACAGCGCCACCCGCGTCCCAACAACAGTAGCAGTAGTAGTTTATCACCATATTTTTTCGCTCCATAAGACGCACCTAGTTTTTAGAGGAGGGAAAGAAGAAACAAGAAAGCAACGCAAAGCCTCTTGAGCGAAGAGGCAGGAGCGCTCCGGCTGCGCTCAAGAGGCTTCGCGCGGCTATCCCTGAAGCCAGAAGAGCAAGAGGGATTGGTGCGCACCGATCCCTCTTGCTCTCCTGGCTTCAGCGATAGCTGCGCAGCCTGCATTCGCTCCATAAGACACACACACATTTTCCCTTTTTAGGAGGGGCGCGTCTTCTAGTCCGGCCTCCCACATTGTCTGAGGGATGGTGGACCGGCCCACGGCTGAAAAAGATTGCTGACCCCTGCTGCACAAGCTCTCTGCATTGGGCGCGCAGCACAGCTCTGGAGACCAGCAAGCCGACTCATTCCAGAGTCTGACATGCTACCAGGGCAGCAAGGCATGACATATGCCCCTCCGGCTGCCTGCGACCCCGCCCCCCATCCATGCTGCCACATGGGACGGCAACACCAGCCAAGGACCAGTTGCGTGAATACGCTGCGCAAAAGGAAGCGAGGGTGCTGTTTGCGGCGCTTGTGCATGGCATGTCTGCTTTTCCCCCCAGAGGCTTCTCTGCAATCCCTCTTCTCGTGAAAAGCGTCAAGGCAAGAATTCAAAGGCCTGTTGACTGGCATTTAACTCTGTTTACCAAGTCCTTGGAGGGCACAAAAGGTCGTTTTCCTGAAGGCCGCCGGTTGTGGGGGGGCAAGGCAGGCTCATAAACAGTGTGACCGCACAGGCCTGTCACATTCCTTCATGAAAGGAGAGAGTGTCTGCCGGGGCGAAAATCTGACAGAAAGAAAGAAAGATGAAAGCTAGGGGTTGGTGCAAGGGAGGAGGGGTTGTTGTTGAGGGGAACTCTGGGTGGGTTTTTTTTGTTTTCTGTCTTTGCTGTCTGTCTCTTTTCGAAACCCCCTCCCAGTTCTTGCTCGTGCAGCAGAGGTGGCAGTTGGGAGGAGAGCGAAGGCAGGGTGGGGTGAGGCGCGAGACATCTTTTGAATGGTTGCCAAGGCTGATTTAATTAGCTGCATTGAATTCATTAACTCCCCACCTCCCCTCTGCAAATGACGCGTCGGCCATGAAGCACAAATTAGGAGTTGCAAGCATCGGTGGAGCGCGGGCGCTGACCTGCCAAAAGACCCAGCAAAGCAGAAAAATTGACCTACTTTCATCAAATCTGAAGGGATCGCCTTTTAAAGCTCTTCTTGGATAGACACTAAGCTCCGACTCTCCCTCTTCCTCCTCTTTTCTCTGTCTGTCTGGCTCTCTCTCTCATGCACATGCAGCTTTCTCTGCTTTTAATCTCCCCCGCTGCCTGAGGCTAAACCAGAAAATCCGCACCTCTGATCATCAAATGCAAGCGAGGTTCCCCCATGTGGAGCTGCCCGCATGCGCGGGTGCACAGAGCACCTTGACGAGTCAGCGGGTTGCATTGAGAGCTCAGGCGCTCTTTGCGTGCAGGGTAGCCGAGTTGATTCTGAGCGGGATTTCTCTGGCCGCAAAGGGACGCAGAAATTGCATAGTTGCAAATGCATAAACCAGGGCCGACCCAAGTTGTACCTTGTGGTAGAATTACAGGTATACATAGAGCCCTGGAGTATCTTATTCTTCTTTGGCCAGCCTTTCTAAACCTGTGGGTCCCCAGATGTTGTTGAACTACAACTCCCATCACCCCTAGCTAGCAAGGCCAGAGCTCAGGGATGATGGGAGTTGTAGTCCAACAACAGATGGGGACCCACAGGTTGAGAACCACTGTCTTTGGCAATCACTCGTAGCCGAGTAAGGTTGCCTTCCATGAAAACGGTCTTAACAGTAAGTCCGTAAGTGACTGTGGAGGCCAGTTCTGGATCCACACATCCTTCCACAGTGGGGACATCGGTTTCTGGGTGGGAGTTGATCACAGTGAGGGATTGCCAAGCGTGCCTTCCTCTTAGCGCGTTTCTCCCTTTCGTCCTGAGTTTAAGCATCTTCAAAGTCCTTGACACCTTTGGTAAAGGCTGTTCTCCAATTGGAGCGCTCACAAGCCAGTGTTTCCCAGTTGTCAGTGTTTATGCTACTTTTTTTTAGATTTGCCTTGAGACAGTCTTTAAACCTCTTTTGTTGACCACCAGCATTACGCATTCCATTTTTAAGTTCAGAATAGAATAGTTGCTTTAGAACAGCGGTTCTCAACCTGTGGGTCCCCAGATGTTGTTGGACTACAACTCCCATCATTCCTAGCTAGCAAGGCCAGAGCTCAGGGATGATGGGAGTTTTAGTCCAACAACATCTGGGGACCCACAGGTTGAGAACCGCTGCTTTAGAAGATGATAATCAGGTATATGGGGTATTAGGGGAGGGGGTATTACCTGTGTTGGGGGACACATCATGCTCCTTCTGGGGTAGTTTGTCCATCTTTGGTCCCCACCCTGCACTCAGCGCTCACCTGTAGCTTCTAGAAGATGTCAGCATGTGACAGCAGCCAAACCCTGGGAACTGGCCAGCTAAACCAGGTGAGGGTAGCCGATGGGTCTCAGACCAGACCCTTGGTGAGTTAGGGATTTCCCCTGCATGTGAAGACCCACTCCAACACATTGAGCGGAAAAGGCCAATACAGTGGTACCTCCAGTTAAGAACTTAATTCGTTCTGGAGGTCTGTTCTTAACCTGAAACTGTCATTAACCTGAAGTACCACTTTAGCTAATGGGGCCTCCCGCTGCCGCCGTGCCACCAGAGCACAATTTCTGTTCTCATCCTGAAGCAAAGTTCTTAACCCGAGGTACTATTTCTGCATAGCTGTCAACCTTTCCTTTTTTGCGGGAAATTCCCTTATTTCAGGGCCATTTCCCGCTGCTTCCCACTGCTATCCCGATTGTTAGATATCCTGTAGACTGTCCCTGGGACAGGTAAGGCTGCTGATCCCTTAATTTCAAATCTGAAAGTTGACAGCTATGTATTTCTGGGTTAGCAGAGTCTGTAACCTGAAGCGTCTGTAACCTGAAGCGTGTGTAACCCAAGGTACCACTGTAGTGGGTCCAACGGTCAAGAAGGCAGTTTATGCACATGCCTCAGAGGTGAGGGTCAGATGGGGCCCGTCAGCCTGCGAAAGTAGCCCCTCTCTAGGAGAAGGAAAACTCTGCTGCCTTGTAGGATATCTTCGGGAGAAGAAAAGACTTAAGGAGTAAACAGTCTGTGTCAGTGAGTTCCACAGATTAAGGATGTGCCACCTGTCCGAAATCGACTGCCACCCAGTTTCACTGAAGTTTTAATTTCATGAGATATGTGGAGAGAGAGAAAGACAAAGAACCCCACCATATACAGTGGTACCTCAGGTTACAGGTGCTTCAGGTTACAGGTGCTTCAGGTTACAGACTCCACTAATCCAGAAATAGTACCTCGGGTTAAGAACTTTGCTTCAGGATGAGAACAGAAATCGGGCAGCGACAGCAGGAGACCCCATTAGCTAAAGTGGTACCTCAGGTTAAGAACAGTTTCAGGTTAAGAACGGACCTCCAGAATGAATTAAGTTCTTAACCCGAGGTACCTCTGTATGTCTAATATGACCCCGACATATGCACTTTTTTGTGTTTCAGAGAAGCCTGGGGGTTTCTGAAGAAGCTTATCAGGGATTCCTCACGGAGAAGATGAGTAATCGCAGGCAAGTTTTCTCTCTCCAAAAGACAGCTTGTGCGCAGTTAGCGGCTGCGAGTGTGCTCTGAGGTCGGACTCCCGGCTCATCCATGGAACTCTGTGTGTGTCCTGGAACGATTCCCAGAATATGCAGGAGTTCCGTGATAGGCAAGCCTTTATCAAAAGGATTCCTTGGAAGTTAAAAAGACCGGACACCACTGGCCTACAAGATCCCCAGAGCAAAAGAAGAGAGGTTGTATGCATGCCCAGGACTCTCAAAAAGCCCTGAGGCATGAGAGGCCAGTTTCCATGAGAATGCCCTGTTTCCATATGGGCCTCTGCAGAGGCAGTGCTTGACTACACACAGGAGGGTTGAAGCAAAATCTGAAAATTTCGGTGCCAATTGGTTTACCTTCTTTGAACATGTCAACCAGGAGAGGTATTCCCATACACCTCTGGCTTTTCATTCTTCGTTATGACTGGGGTAGTTAGATACCACTTGATATTCAGTGAAGTGTCATACTGGTTTGCAGCAAATACACATTACTTTTTCTTTCTTTTGCTTTGCTACTTGCCTGCTTTATTCAGTGTCTGTTAGACCCTTCAAGTCTCCCTCTTTTCCAGGGACATTTCCTGACTCACAGAAGCTGTCCCGGTTTCTGATTTGATCCCAGAACGTCCCGCTTTTCCTTAGGACGCCCCTATTTTCATCGGAGAAATGTTGGAGGGTACAGAGTTATGGGATCCCCAAGCCAAGGAGATAAGTAACTATACAACCTTTAGATGACATCTGAAGGCAGCCCTGAACAGAGGTACCTTGGGTTACAGACGCTTCAGGTTACAGACTCCACTAACCCAGAAATAGTACAGTGGTACCTCGCAAGACGAATGCCTCGCAAGACAAAAAACTCGCTAGACGAAAGGGTTTTTTGTTTTTTGAGCTGCTTCGCAAGACGATTTTCCCTATGGGCTTGCTTCGCAAGACGGAAACGTCTTGCAGGTTTGTTTCCTTTTTCTTAACACCGTTAATACTGTTGCGACTTGACTTCGAGGAGCAACTCATAGAACGCGGTGTGGTAGCCTTTTTTGAGGTTTTTAAAGACTTTGGTGATTTTTGAAGCTTTTCCAAAACTTTCCCGACACCGTGCTCCGCAAGACGAAAAAAGTCGCAAGACGACAAAACTCGCGGAACGAATTAATTTCGTCTTGCGAGGCACCACTGTACCTCAGGTTAAGAACTTTACCTCAGGTTGAGAACAGAAATCGTGCTCCGGCGGCGTGGTGGCAGCGGGAGGTCCCATCAGCTAAAGTGGTACCTCAGGTTAAGAACAGTTTCAGGTTAAGAACGGACCTCCAGAACGAATTAAGTTCTTAACCCAAGGGAAGGTTTCTTTTAATGTTTAATGTTTTCTTATGCTTTTATATATGTGGACAAGGCTGCTTAGACGAGTAAAACCGACCACCTGTCTCCTTGATCCTTGCCCATCCTGGCTCATAAAAGCGAACCGGAAAGGGCTGGGTGATGGGCTCCGTGTGGTGGTGAATGCTTCCCAGATGGACGGGGTA